TTCATGGGAACAGCAAGGACGCTATCAATGGGTACATGGACTTACAATGGGTACATCAGTAGGTGTTTTAAGTCTATCTGTTGTGGATTTAAATGTTGATGTAATCTGGACCTCCTTTTTGTTCTTTTCTTTGGGCATGTAGTGAGCAGGACCTGGTAACTGGTCCTCATGTCGTTTGGTCATCTGTGCTATTCTATTGGATGTAGATCCAAATGCCCCCTTCCTAGAACTTTCCAGACTAAAACAAATAAAAATATTTTAATTACACTTGAAAGCTATGTTTACTTTCTCAAAGAATATATAAGATTACTTACTGTACTTTTCTGTTCAACTCTGACGTTATGTCAGGAATGTTATAAGTGCCTGGTCCTGTCAAAACAGCAACAATTTTTAACAAAACAAATCCATCTATTATCATGATGATATAACATAGCTGTTTACTCTCAGGGACCGCGAAGCAGGAATCTGTTTGGGGGGGCTAGCAGCTGATGAAGGCAGGAGACGGGAGTTCGGGGTATTCTCCCCGGAAAATTTTGAAATCTTAAATCTTGGAGATGTCATTTCCAGCGTTTTGAGCCGTTTTCCAATTACATATTTCTGACCGCTAAAACTGCACACACGGTCACATGATATTCAACAAAATCCCGAAGACTTCGCAAAAAAAATTCAATTTTAATTGTTTTTACACAATCTTCCTATAATAAAAAGTGAAATTTCACAAGGAGGCTCTTCACTTCTTTATTTAAGAAAATTCAAAATAGCAAAAAAATTATTGGGGGGCTGTAGCCCCTCAGCCCCCCTTCACCATGGTTCATGATTCTGCAAGTTATTAATCAATTAAGATTTCTAATGTATACCTGGAGTTTTGTGTGAATGRTGTTTGCCTGCTTGAAATCTTACAGATGTTTGGCCAAATGGACTTCTCTTTAAACCAGTAGTCCTGTGAAAATAATAATAATAAAAAAAAATGTTTATATGAAACACTGATCCAAACACTACACACAGATGCTTGCTTATGTGCAAAATATGTGTGTGGGTTTCGAACTCAATTCTACTGTCTTCTTCCTATATAAACTGTATGTATTTTGGTGGGCTTTCAGTGAAACAAACAAATATGACAATAGACAGAGCAAACTACATACAGTCGAATTTACAATTTTTCAAGTAACAAAATAATGTCCAGAGCTAGTTTAAAAGCATTTTCACGAAAATAAAACACTTAATTTATTGTTAAATCAGAGATAACATGGAATACTTCAATGTCATTTGACAAATACTGTAATAATTTATTTCATGAAATGATGTTCTTAGAAAGATAATTTGGGGGTCACTGATAATTTTACCACTGCAGACAGTGCTTTCTATACTACTTTATAAAACTTATTAATAATGCATAAGCTATTGCTCCAATAAGGGCTGACCATTTAATCAGGTGATTGACCTTGTAAATCTGATACAACCACTAGTGGTTGTATCAGATTTACAACACGGTCGTCACCATTGAGACAACCCAACACTAGCAAAGGTCTCAGTTTTAGTGTCGCATCATAGACCTTCACTAGGTTTTGAAGCAATCAAAGACGGATAACAGAACTCGCTTATGCAACAGATGGCTTGCTTTCCATGTGGGATGGATAATTATTCAAAATGTTCTGTGTTGCAGTAAATTGCGCATGCTTAATAGGGACTAAACTCAGCAGTTACCTTATTTGTCATTTTTCGTCATTTATCTCACTGTAATTCATGTTAATTTGTGTTGGAGTTTTATAAGTCGTTTACAACATTCGCGTCCGTGTTGTATGGGAATTACAATCTCTCGCCTGCGGCTCGAGATTGTAATTCCCATACAACACGGCCGCTCATGTTGTAAACATTACTTATACACCTATGTATTTCAGGTACACGTASCTAAGTTTGGATACATTATTAATAATAATCTACATCTCACCTTTTCAAAACTTCAAGTGAGTTTCTAGGATCATTGTACGTCCCAGGAGCTGGTGATTGATGTTTTTGCTTGTCAAATCTCTACAAAGGTTACAACATTTAACATGTATTATAGTAATCAAATATTAAAAKACTTTATTACATGCACCCAGATCCTTTTCAGTTTCATGTCTCAGCATCATGCATGCATCGGATGACCACATTCTATGTCTTCCGACATTGTCCCTATCCGAGCCTTCAAATTTCCATTGGGAAACTGAGAAGGATTTGGGTACAAGAATATAATTAAAATCTAATCAGCATAGATAAATATACATGCATATGCTTGACATAAACTAGAAGTAGCTTGGGAATTTAAAATTATTCTTATTAAATTTGACATGAAGCCAGACAATGTTCTTTGCTGCACACAAGCACATTTTCATTARTTCAGAGAATGAAATTCCTAGATATATGTACACTGTATTTCAAATGATTTTTTAACTCCTCAGGGCGGTCAGGCCTTATTGCTTCCATGCATCCTTTGTTTTCCATTGTTTTAAATTCAATCTTCCAGTTTATGTTGTAGGCATCTATCATGTCACCATAGTGATGGTATCATGATCATTATTATCTTCATTAGCCTCCTGAACCATTCAATACTATCAGAAATTACATTACAGTCAGCACACATGACAAATTTTCTATGATCCTAATCATCACCACCAGTAATAAGCAATAATAAAATAACAAAAAGATCAGAATTGCTTCAAGTACCTTGGCTTGTGATCCAAATGGTGCTGTGATGGCAGCATTTTCCTGTGCGGTTGAGGCCGCTGTAGGTGCTCTCTTAGTAAACTGACTCTTAATCTCATATTTACCAGGGCCTGGAACAGCTTTTTTTTCTTCTGACTTTGCAATGACATCATGATACCTTGGCAGCTAGTAAATTGAATCATAGTTTGTCATTGTACATATTAATTGTTACACCTAATTGAAAAAACTCAGATCTCTGATTGGTTAAATAAGTGGGCAGGTATTGCAGGTGCATACAAATCATGCACACATAATTGGCTGAATGTTCGAAAAGGATCTGTTCTTCTATATATGGTTGTGCATACACTTTGCTGATGAAAACACTTAGAAGGCTCTCATGTCCAAATTATGTGGAGATCAAGAACTTAAACTTAAACTTACACTGAAAAGAAATTTTTGAAGGACGTGCATTAAGATTTGAACCAGCGCTATGCATTGGCCCTATACTTTCCCTAAACCTAAACATTAAGAGTGCTTAAGACAAGAGTGCTTTGTAAAGTGATTCGCGCATGATTAGTTTGCCCCATTTATCTCAAAACATATTTGTACGGCAGTTTCTCCAAGAATTTTAATGGTTTTGAGTTTTAAATTAGTGTTGGAGGTTTTGAAGCCGTTTAAAACACTTAATGAACATTATATAGGGACATGAAAGCCTTCTATAGGTACATCAGAGCCATGCATGTGGACATCCATATAATTATGGCAGTCATACAACAGATTCTACTCGAATGTTCATACATCCTGTCAATCAACTTACCATTGATTCAAAAGGTTGTCTTCTACTTTCTTTAACAATCTGTGTAAATAACATGTTTGYAGTTTATTTTATCAGTCTATTATATTTAATATTATATTTGGTTGTATAGACTGCGTAGCCAGGCATTTCTAGCCAGTTCAAGAGAGTTGGGCCACTGAAATCAAGAGTTGGGCCAYARAAACCAAGAAGGAAAAACCTGCCCACTGTTCCTTACRAATGGGCACTTCTCATTGGTCTGAATATAGTGATTGACAGGTGTTTTTGCTGCATTAAAGAGAGAATGTTTTAGAAGGTCAAGAGTTCAAAATGCTGTACTAAAGTGGATCTAGTAATTATCACATTATTCCTCTCGACAGATACATGTCATGTTTTTTCATAGCACTTAAAGTGCTCCTAATGTATGATTTTTCTCACCCCAATAACGTATTTGAGCACTAGTATCCCTCGACAAGCGGTCCTGATAGGAGATGGTTAGCTTTCAAAATGGTTTAAAAATTCAGGATTAGGTCAAATKTCCAATTTTTTTCAAATTTATTGATTTTATATGCCTATGATTTCAATTAATCACACATTTTAAGGGGCACTATTATAGTTCATTTATAATAAAGCACAATATCATCTTAAAAGGATGATTGAATATTTTGAACGAACTATCCTTCCTTCATGCATTTGATTTAGTATAATATTATTTACCGGTAATTAGAAAATAAAGTACTGTTAATATCTTGAAATAACCATTATTAGTAATTGAGCTCTATGGGTACATATATTTCTGTGCTGTCTCACATTAAAGTTTAGTTGTGGAAGTATAAATACACCTGTAACTATACTTAGTTAGTACTCTACGTATATTGTAACTGTGACACTGAATTTGAGGACCAATCTGTGYGTTTACAATGGCAGTGAAAATCCTATTACTGAAGGGGTGTTTTTTAAATTCATTACTGTAAGGTACATATTGCAGACAGGCMTTCCCTTCTGGGTTTTTTTGGCCCAAACTCAGCTACAGTAGGAATACAATGTACTGTGGCTATAAACACAAGCTAAGTTTGTTGTTTAATAAAAAACGAAAAAAAACCCTGCAATCTAATGAAAATAAGTGCTGCAATATAAAAGTCATAAATGGGAACCCGTTTGGCATGCAGTGCCTGAACACAACATTTCCTATTTCATGGCAGTTTTGGGAATCTGTTATTTTGTTTCCCCATGTTGGATCCGACAAACAATGCCATTAAAGTTCTACTTCTAAATAAAAAAAATATGTCCTGAACATGCAGTTTTTTGTTTGCATTATGGATCAAAATCATGGATAAATTTTTGCGACTACTTACAAAATCTAATGGTGTTTCTTCTTCTGGTTCTGCATATGGATCATAGTCTCCTGGTCCTGGACCACCACTTCCTAGAAACATGATTTACATTATTTAACAAATTAATGATCTCAATTGTTGGTAAATGCTGTTATAAATCAAAGCAGCTATACATGTACCTTTGAACTGCATTCTCTTTGATGTTCTGTTACTAAAATGAATTCCTTTGTACTTGTGAGTTGTTACCGTATCATCCTGAAAACATACAGTGAACACACATCAAAAAACTACATTTTCTGACAGGAAATATCTAGTACAGCTGACTAAGGAACCAACAGGCAGCAGAGCTTAATGGTTTGCTGGCACTCTGCCTGCAGTGAGCTACTGGGAGCCAATATCCTTTATTTGTCTCCTCCTTGACAACRAACATTACTCAGGGTTCACTAAACTCAGGAATTAGATTTTTTTTCTCTTAACTACATGTATGCTTCTTTAACCCTCTGATGCCAGCACTTTAGCATTATGGTTTGAATACAAACCATGCTTTGAAAAATTCCAAACTTTCATAAATCGTGAGATTTGACTTCAAACACTGTTCAAAAGAGAAAAATAACTAGCAGGCTCAATCATAGAATAGGAATCATGCAGTCACCAATACTCCTTTCCATCGAAAAAAGGCAGCTGTGCTAATGTGTATGCGCTAAATATGTGCTTTTTATTGGCCTAGACAGCAGTGGGGAACTCCTATTTTAGACTCAAATTGCACTACCAAAATTGTCTTATCATAAGTAAAAAATGGGTTTTGTGGGAGATCTCCATCCTCAGTCTCTCGAAGTTTTGGACTCTCGCTTTGTTGAATTGTTTTCGAATTGACCAAAAGCCCCCTTTTTGGGACTAACTACAGCAAACACAGTTTTCTCAGATGCACTACCAAACAGCATCATGGGATATGTTGATTCAATTCGACAGGGATGTCCAGCAATCCTGTCTTTGAAAAATCGCTCCCCACTCCTGATTTCTTCCAGAAGAGTGTTTTAACTGCCTAGTCTAGCTTAATGATGCAGGCTGTACGACTTCCATATATGGTTGTGCATGTACGGCGCTGATGTGCACATAGAAGGCGCTGATGTGCTCGTAGAAGCCTCTGATGTCCAAATTATGTGGAGAAGAACTTAGAAAATTTCAAAGACCTAAACTAAATCAAAAAGAAATTTTTGAAGAACAAGTACTAAGATTCGAACCAGCGCTATGCATTGCCTAACCCGATTTTTTCCCTAAACCTAACCATTAAGCCACGAGACCAATTCGCTTGAGTGAACCTGAATTTTTGTGATATTTTATGCAATGGCATGCAYGAATAACCACGCATATGTACATAAGATTGAATATATAATTAATGAACCATMTATAGGGACATGAGAGCCTTCTATAGGTACATTAGAGCCAYGCATATGGACATCCATATATGGAAGTCRTGYGACAACCTCTACTCGACTAATCTAGCAAGCTGTCTCAAATTAGCTATGTGCTACATAAAGGCACGTTCCCTAGGGAATATGAATCCATGATAAGTTGATTGACAGCTCCTTTTATGGAGCTTAAATGCTTTTTTAATCTCTTGAATGTAAAAACGGCCCTAAATCGAGAAAACTGGGCTGGCATCAGAGGGTTAAACTTATTTCAAATGTCCTCTCAAAATGGTGTTTGACATTTTTAAGGTAACATTTGCTGTTTCGTTTTATTCATTCATTGTGAACATGAGAAAATGTTTTTGAYCTACATGTAGCCAAAGCCTCGTTTTGGTTCTGCAGAACCAACGTCTTGTGAAAGGGCCATTGAAATTTACTAAATTACCATTCATTTGAAGTTTTCATGGTATCAGTGGTTTTATGTCTAGGGACTTATACCAAACTTCATATCATACTCAAAAACTTCAGAGGAAAGAAATTTAAAGTTTAGAATTGTYATAAATTGCAACACAGCTAACATGGAGTTTAGAGCAATATATGGGTATTGGAATATACAGCCTTTTGCAAAAATTATGAGAATTGTCTAAATATCTAAATATCATAATATCCATATCCATATATTGTCCGGAACACACAGGTTTTCTAGAATAATTCATTGTTGACATCGAGAAATTGTTCAGAACTACGGATAAGTCTGTCGCCAAAAAAAAACTAAACTACAAAGACAAAGGACTAAGGGCATCGCGCGAGATTACCCACCATGCACTCGATATTATGATATTTAGATATTTCAACAATTCTCATAATTTTTGCAAAAGGCTGTACACTTTGCAATATTGACAGTATAGTATTAGTATTCAAGGTTGTCTGAAATGCTATATATATAAACTGTATGCACTGKAGCCTTTGTTACTTACATTCCTGACATCATAGTAGGCTGGTCCAAGGGTACTATCTCTAGCTGGCATATCCTGACGGCGGAGTGTCCCATCTGGTGCTTCTTCATACCCATAAGCCTTTCCAGGAGAGGGGATGGAAGGTGGGTCAGGCTTGCGCCTAAAAGTAATCCTGCTAGTCTTGAAAACCTATGGACATGTTTAGATAATAACTACACTAAGATAATATTCTAAGCAACAATACAATATTTTAATTAATGTACAAATGTATGAGTTCTATGTTGATTCCCTTTTTAACACCATCTTAAACACCGAAAAGGTCCCAAAACAAATGGGCAAAATTAAACCAGTCATTCTAAAAAAAGCTTTTAGATTTGAACTCTTTATATTATGACATTGTGATACCACTAATTATCAATATTTACAAGACTTCTACAAAGCATTTGTTTATCATGAAACTACTAAATGGAAATTAAAATGTGACTTGCATTATTGTGATTTGCCTCTTCATTTTGTTCTGGTTTTGCAGGAGTGACTTCTTTTATCCAATCCTTCTTTTTCTGTAAATTATATGCACCMGGTCCAGGAGTCTTGATAGGTTTGTCTTTAAATCTGGAAGACTGTATCAAACCAATACATATATTAGCAACCACACTAATTGTTGTATGTAGCATTCACCACTCACAATTTCAGAATTTGAAAGAMAAACTAGAACCTGTGGTGACAATAAATGGGCTTTGCACACACAAAAACTGACTGGATTACAAAAACAAAACAAAATGTGCTGGAATAAATGTTGGCTTCACTGGATGTGACCATGACAAAACATGAAGGGTTCAGTAGAGAATCAGAATGGTCCCGGGGGGGAGGGGGGAGGGGCGGTACTCCCATATATCTACTATACGGGGACGTGCCGCTGGCCAGGGTATGGTTTTTGGCCTTGCTGTCTTGAACAGGGTATACATTTCACGCAAAATTGTCTTAAACAGGCTCTACAATTTAGATAAAAGACCGATATAATTTTTTTGTGTGTCTTGGACAGGGTAATATTTTCATAAGAAATACCATAGAAATAGTAGAAATACCGTTTCACTGTACCAGGATTAACATGTTATCAAAAACTTCTTATTGTCTTTGRTGGATGTCAGTATTTGCAGTTTTGATGGTTGCGTCGTAGATAGCTATTCCTTATTTTTCCGATTTGTCTTGAACAGGGTATGGATTTTTACTTTTTAGTGTCTTAAACAGGGATTTAGACCTCTGGCGGCACGTACCTATCCAAAACGGGGTCGAGTACCCCCCCCCCCCCCCCGGGAGAATGGTTCAGGATTTGTGATGATTTCAATAACCACTAGTCMACTAGCAACAACTACATCTAGCTTTTAAAAGACAGAAACTTAGTCATTAAAACTGTTCACTTGTAAACACATAAAGACAAAAAAGTCATTTTCATAAAACGGTTTTTTAGAATTCCTGGGAAGAGTTTTAATAATTCTAAACTTTCGACGATATAGTACCGAATTAAAGGTTATTGGCATTGTAAAGACTTTTCGGTACTTTATGGTTAAATATTCTTGCAAAGAAGAATTTAAAATATGAAGTATACAAATTAACTTGTTTTCTTTGCGTCTTTACAAACCGAACAACGTTAATGGGACTGATTTACGAGTTAAATTACGAGCCATCATTCACCGTATTAGAAAGAGTATGGCCTCCGACAATTCGAAATTGTGCTTGCCCTGGATCGTATGCCCCTGGTCCTGGAGCTGCAATAACACTGTCGTTCACATCTAGAAATGTTTCTCTGCCCGTCATGGAAAGGAAAGGTGCATATCCATCTAAAATGAAAAGTATTTCCAAACAAAATTAAGAACTCAAGTTAGCTTCGACTTTAAACTAAGTTAACTCCTCTCTTACCGTATCTTCGTTGAATTGTGTCCAAAGATTCGTACGTTCCTGGTCCCACTCCGTGTCCTGTGCCCACAGAGGGCTGTGTTAGAGCCCTTGGAGCTCTGTCGTACATGTTTTATACAAGAAAAATCACCAAAAACTACTTCTTCTTCTGTGAGCCACTAATGCTAAACATGTCCTCCTTGTTACTATGGAAACATTTGTGGAATTTTCCGAAGAGAATCCGCTGGCACAAAAAAGAGCGCAAGATAAAATTCTGATCGATTCTTATATCAAGGCAATTGAAGATTCTACTTCATACGATTTAATTGGATGAATCTTTACATAGAATAACTAAAATCATGACTTTTAATTAGTTTTGACTCCATTAGAAGAGATTTACATCATTGAAACACAGGAAACCCATCTCAATCTTACTTTTGATTGTGTTGGTCTTCCTGTGTAATTTGGCTTCTTCCTGCACATTACATRTACCTACTTTACTGACTTTTTAGTACACCTTCTTCTTCTAGAACACTAAAATATTCTTCAAGAACTTCACTTTCTTCTATTTCATTCTCGTCCAATTCATTATTCAAGCTAGTCCGTTTCCTTACACCGGCTAAACCAGCATTCTGAATTGCCGTACCGCCAAGTTTTCGAGCTCCTCTCTCAATGTACTTTTTAACTTCTGGTTTGGCTAAGATGAGCTCTAACAGAGCTAATGTATCTCCTTCAGCTGTATGGCTTCCTTCGATGTCTTTTCCAGTGTATCGTTTGTAAAGACTGYTCAAACTATGTGAAATTCTTGCGCTAGYTCTATCTCCCATGSATTGTTCTCCGGTGCCTTCTGCCTTTATGTCTTTATGCTTTATGTCTTTATGCATGGCTCGAAAAGCACTACAAGAGTCCGAAACTTCCACACAAGAAGKAAATTCCAAACCAGCTTGAGAGATCTCTGAAGCGAGGATATCAAAGTCGTATCGATCGCCTCCGTGAGCGACCAAGCAACATGGCGACTTTTGCCGAGCAAGGAACGATTTAATAGTTGTAGCCAGATCTCTGTCGAAACCTTTGTAGTCTTCAAGGACGCTATTCGATAAACCTGTCATCAATTCAGCTCCATGCTCAATGCCCTGCGTAGGACGAACACATACCGTCAGTTTATCAAGTAGTCGTGGAATAGTCGAGGTTGTACAACACGACTCGAGTTGGTCATTGAGAACGCCAACTAAGCRTAGTTCAGCAATTTCTATGGGTCTTTTTAGACCTGTGGTTTCCAAGTCAAAGAATACAAAAGAATTGAAAGACTTGTTCGAATGCATATTACGTAAAAGCCTACGACGAGCTACAGCCACTACAATCGCCAAACACTGATGAACACAATACATGCTA